TCAGGATCGCGCTGTCTCCTGGCACGGCCGCTCCAGACCCGTCGCCATCTTGGACCCCCCCCTTTGTATATTTCCTAAAAACAAGGACATTCTCTTACACAATCACAGTACGATGATCAAAATAAAGTCATTTAACACTGATATAATACCATGATTAAATCCACATTTCATATTCACACTTTGCCAGTTATCTCAATAATGTCCATTACTGCTATTTTTCCCTGGTCCAGGATCCTATCTAGGATCATCTATTGCATTCAGTTGTCATATGTCTTTAGTTAACTTAGATCTGGAATAGATCCTCAGCCTTTATTTGTCTTTTATGACCTTGACATTTTTAAAGATTATTTTGTGGTATGTCCTTCCATTTGAGTTTGTCTGATGTTTTTCTGTAATTAAATTTAGGTTATGCTGGGATACCACAGAGACAATGTTGAGTTCTTCTCAGTGCATCATATCAAGAGGCACATTATTGGCAGGAGGTTCTGTTATTGGCAATGTTAACTTGATCACTTGGTTAAGGTGATGTTTGCTAGGTTTCTCCCCTGTGTAATTACTATTTATTCCCTTTGTAATCAATAAGTCATTGGTGGATGAATATTTGAGACTATTTAAATATCCTGTAAATTTTACCCACTAGTTCTAACATTATTCATGGGCTTTTAAAATAACATCTTTTGAGGGTCCACCCTATCCGAGCATTTTTACATTATGTTGTTAGGTGCTTCTTCCACCCATTGCCTGACTCTACCCAGCTACTGTTCCTATGTGGTCTTCTGTACATATAAGCTAGGCTGAACTCATAGAAATCCCAAGGTTACTACTTTTGCTTTCTTCCTTAAAGCCCAGACTGGAGACAGGTCTCAGTTGCCCTTCCTGCTCTCTTTTCCCTGGACTGCCACTCCTGTCCCTCTTTGTCCTTCCAAAAGAGAGTGTTTACCTTTCACAAGTTTGAGTCTCCAACCCCTGTTACTGCTTCTGTAGGATAAGGTGCAAGTGAGTTTTTTGTTGTTCCACCAAAGACTGTTCCCAGTCCTGGATGGGGAATGGTAAGCATCAAGGAATTAGAGTATTAGCTGTTGTTCTGTTGTTTAGGAAGATATGCATATCTCTCAAACATTGTTTCATTTAATCCTCCTAATATCCTGAGATGTACGGTTAAGACAATAGACTTATATCAAACAGACCTGGGTTCAACTCCCAAGGCTGTCATGAAACAGGTATGTGATCTTGAGCAAGTTCCTTATCCTCTCTATGCCTCAGTTTCCTTATCTATAAAATGGAGTTATTTAGAGGAATAAATTAGATCATACACATCCACAAGCATAGTGTCCAGCTAGTAAGTGCAGATCTGTCATTCTAATTAAAATGTGTGACTCTGAAATTCATGTTCTTTTTGTACATAGTACCAGCTGATAATTCACATTTCCTTATTCTATTAAATTATGAAACAGGAAAATCCCTTTGGTTTCTCTTTTAAAATTTCAGAGTTTTCTATAAGAATTATGACTGAATCTAAGCCATGCCTTTCTAATTTCAAGCACAGAGGTTACCAAAGTTCACAAAGTACCTCTGGGACCACCTTTCTAAGGAAGGAGAATGGAGAAGTTGAGGTCGGGAAACGTGGCTGTGCCACTGCTTCTGTATGATGCTGGGCTGATTGCTCAGCTCTTCTGAGCTTGTTTTCCTGTTTTAAAAAAAAAAACAAAAGACCTGATCGAGTTGATCTCAGTGCTCTCTTTCACCTTTCAGAAACTTAAATAATGATCCCTAGCTCAATTTTAAAAACTTTTTCTTTCTTTTTTTAATAAAATAATCAGTCCTTTTAAGTATATAATTGATTAGTTAAAACTATCAAACTATAATTTTTTAAAAAATTATTTTCATTTCTCTGCCTTTTTTCAGTTAGCTGATCTTTTTCTCCTTTTTGAAAAGTCTGGCTGTTTGGAATCTTGGCAAAGAAAAGTGATTCCTGCTCTGCACTCCTCACCCAACCACACCCTTGTTTACGTAGCCTGTTTCTTCCTTTCTTTCATTTTTACCAGAACAATATTGTTTACAAACTGCTTTTGCCCCTCTTCAAGCTTCTCAGCATCGTATGGGAAGCTTCCCTTCTGTGATGCCAGCTACAGTTATTTTGTCCCAGTTAGACTAGAGGACACAAAATTTAGAAAAGGCAGCAGTCTCTTGAGAGTTAGATACCCCAAGAATGTGCTATTTGTCTTTAAAAGAGCTGAGACTTATAGTACAACCCAAAGAACTATATCTTTTACTCGGCCTCCGGTGGATTAGAAAGATTGTAGACCCTGAGGGTAAGTGGATAGACTTTAGGGGTGTTGGCAAAGCCATTAAAAATCACATGTATTTTTCAGGAAAGAGCCATAACTTTTATGTTTTCTCAAAGGAACCTACAGGTTGAGTCAGTGTTATACAGGTACTGATGAAAGCTGTGGCCTCTGTCCATTGACTTCCATGGGTTACTGTTACCTGGACTTCCAGCTGATCTGACTCTTGAATGGTTGAATCTGGAAGGAGTTTCTAAAATGTATCTGATTTTGAATTTTGTTTCCAGAACTTAAACTATCAGTAAGTGTGTGATGGGTGAAAGAAAGGAAGGAAGGAAGAGAGTTAAAAGTGGCCCATCTGGGCCTTTCCAACAGGGGCAGGAGCCTGCACTTTGGGTCATTGTTCAAGCAAAAAGTGCTTCTGATGAGGCTGAGAGACTAAAAGAAAAAAGTTCATTTCAGTACATTAAATGTGAACATCTCTGTTGTTAAATCAAACCAACACTCACCTAGTTCACAGGCATATTGTCTTCAAAAAGGTATAATGATGCTTCTCATTTTTACCTTTCTTTCAGGGATTAGCAAGTCAGTCATCAAAACAATGTCCATCATGGATTTTGAAAAGGTTAATCTTGAATTAATAGAGGCCTTATTGGAGTGGATTGTGGATGGAAAGCACTGCTACCCTCCAGGTAACTGCTTCTTCATTCAGGCCTCAATGATCCGCATATTAAACACTCAGTCCCTGGCTAAATGGGAGTCTAGTTATGAGTGTTTGAATCACATGCAGACTCTTTGCACATGGAGGCCACAAGGCAATGGGGTTAACAGCGCAGGCTTTGAAGTCTGATGAACTTCCCAACCCTGCTATTTAGGAATCCTGTAACCTTGGATAAAGTCCTTATCTTTTTCTTCTATGCTTCAGTTTTCTTGTTTGTAAAATAATAAAATAATAATAAATCCTCTTATGCAAAGCTATCTTGAGGATTAAAAGAAACCATATATAAGGAACTTAGCACAGTGCCTGGCATATCGTAAATGCCCAATAGATACTACCTCCTAGTAATGGTAATATTATAATAATACACTTATTGTTATTATCACTTTTACCACTACTACCGTAACATAGAGCAATCGCTACTTTTCTCTTACTCACTGTCTTCTCATCCCAGTGGCCTTCTTAACCTTAGTTACAGTCCCTTATCACCAGAATGAACACCCCAGATCTTCTCATAACTGAATCCTTCACATCACTCTGCTTGAATGTCACTTCTGCATACCACCCTATCTGTTGTCTTGTCCCCCCTTACTCTATTATAATGACTCCAAAAATGATTTTCCTTTTCATTGTAGCACTTATTGTCTGAAATTAGAGTTTTGCTTAACTATCTCCAATAGAATATAAGCTCCTTAAGAATAGGAATTTCTTGTTTACCACTATATTTCTCAGACCCTAGAACAGTACCTGGAACATATAGATGCAGAGTAAATATTTATTGCATGAATAAATGAAGGGCAGACAATGTTGGGTGACCATTAAGTGGAATAATAGATCAAAAAATTATGTACTCATTACACAGTACTTAAGAGAAATAGGAATGACTGCTGTCTTATGCAGAGTTCAGTTATTATGTGGTATTTTCTGGAGATTTGTGAGCTGTATAAAATTGTTACAAAGTGCCTTGTTTCTCTCTCTTTGTAAGTAGCCAGTGTTGGCTAATGCATTATCACTGGACTGAATATCTTGTTTCATCCCAAAGGAAAAGACAAGTATTGAAAAAGACCAAGCATAGCAGCCAAAGAGAAACGTTAGAAAATTACCTGAATTTAGAGCAGAGTAGATATAGTGATTATGGAGTCAGTGTTATATTTGTGAATATTAAAGATATCCCCGACACAGATGGCCAAGCCATGAGGGCAGATAATAAGGTACATAAAAATATAGGTGAAATTTTTTATCCATCTATATAATTTCCCACTCTTAAATTTTGTGGCATTTTAGCAGAGATTTTGTGGCATTTAGTATGGGATATATAATGGAAAGAGCGTAGATCTGGTGCCAGAAACCCTACGCTGTGTCCAAACTTCATGCCTATTAACTCTTGATCTGGCCAAGTTACAGAGTCACTTGTAGGGGTACCAACAACCTTCTCAATAGGTAGCTTTGAAGATCAAGTGAGATAATTTATGTGAACATTTAATACTATGAAGTATTAAAAACAGCCCTGCAAGTTTTTTTCTGGCCTTCTTACTTCAGAGTTCCATTTTTGTAAAATAATAAAGGTTCCTTACTTATTTAGTGGAGAGAATAACTGACTAAAAAATAGATCATGAGTTCTTTGTGGGTAGATCCTTGTTCTATATTTCATTTTACCTAACACAGAGCTGACATAGGCACCCAGTAAATATTTGTGCGATTAAAGGAGGGACTAGTGAAGAGAGTTACCAATTTCCCCTCCGAATAAAGCACAAAAGAAGGTGACTATTGCTGAGTGACCACTCTTGGCACAGAAATATACAATAATCAGTTATCACTGCTTATTTTATTTAATGTAAAAATTTAAAGCCTGTAAACTGTTTATATAATAAGATTAGTTGACTGCTGCCTCTTTACAATATATCTGATTTTAGATTACCTGATTGACCAGCTAATTATAGTTTCTTTTTCTCATTTCCAGTAAAATGTTCATAGATTTTATTTGTTAACACGTAGAAGAGTCTTTCTGTCTTATAAAGTTAAAAGGCTAACTTTTCCTATAGAAACAGAATGTCAGTGGCCAGTGCAATGAGGAAGTGTGTTTAAAGAGCTTTAAAGAGTTTACCTAATGATTCTTATATAATTTAAGGCATTATACTTTTCCACACTTCAGTTTTTCCTGTTGTAGAAGGATACTAATACTCCATTTTGTCCTTATTAAGTAGAGAATGTATAAAAAATATAATTTATTATTCACTTAAATCCTTGGAGACTTTACAAGAAAAGAAAACTGACAGTGAAAAATTCTCAGAATATTGCTTTTTTGGGTTTAAAATAGCTTAATAATCTTTATTAGTTTTTCCTTTTTTGCATTTACGATATTAATTCTTCTTATATACCCAGGTGCTATACTTGTATTTTTACCGGGACTAGCAGAGATCAAAATGCTTTATGAACAGCTACAGTCTAATTCTCTTTTCAACAATAGATATGGTAATCGGTAAGCCAAATGCTTTCTATATCCTTAATCATCCACTGCAGTTATCTACAAGGATGAATAACCAGAAAGGTCTCTTTTATAGTCATTACCCTCTTTAGACCCTAGTGTCACTCTTCAAGCATACATTTGTTTATGCCAGCTGGAAATGGACAGACCTATTTGTTCCAGGAAATGTTACTACCATACCATTAAAGAAAAGTATTTCTGTTCACTTAGCAAAGTGACTCAGCAAAATTGCATGTAATTTCAGTTGCTAGATTCAGGGGAAGGGGAGAAGGTAGGAAGGTAGGAGGAAGGCCAGCGTTAATAACAACAACAAAATGCTACCATTTTGAGAGAAAATCATTTTCAGTGGTTCCTATTCTAGTAGCAAGACATGCTAAAGGAGAAAGCTATTTGACAAGTGAACACTCCCTAGAAAATTAAGAATGAAATTTCTTAGCTTACATCATTGTCTTTGCCTCTCTTTCTCTGGATTTGAAGGTAGGGAAAAAATGTTTCTTTGCTGCTTAGTTTGCTCTAGGTTTGTTACTTCTGTGATATCAATTGTTTATTCCTCTTGGTTATTTATTACTGAATTACACTCCAGCATTTTCCCCAAGTTGGTACAAGGTTTTTAGTTCTGAGAACGGAGAAAATATTTCATAAGGATCAGAAAGAACCTTGCTATTTAGAAGAGCTGGCCCTTGAAGACAGATTATAGAGAAGCTGCTGTTATTTAGAGACATATTTTTAGTTTTAAGAGAAATTCACCCCTTGTAATTCAATTGCAGTGCTTTGTGCTTGAATACTTACTGTGCTTTTATTTCCTTTCAGATGTGTTATTCACCCACTTCATTCGTCTTTATCCAGTGAAGAGCAACAGGCTGTGTTTGTAAAACCTCCTATAGGTGTAACTAAGATTATTATTTCCACCAACATTGCTGAAACATCCATAACCATTGATGATGTTGTCTATGTCATTGATTCTGGGAAAATGAAAGAAAAGAGGTATTCTCTTTTGGTGATATAAGAAGGGGCTAAAGATGCCTCATTTAGGGTGACAGCTGTTAATGGCTAGTGCTGTTAAGCTACATAGATTACTGTTTGAAAAAATACTTTATGAAAACTGTATGTGGTTGTGTAAGTGATTCTATGGCCAGGACCATGAATCTTAAAGTCAAAAAGGGGTGAAAAGTTTAAGGTTTTACCTTGGAAGTAATAAGTCACTTTTCTTCTTTTTTTCTCATATGATTTTATATGGATGAAAAAGAGTTGAATAAAGAAACTGTATGTAGTGACACTCTATACCATTTAAATCAGCATTGACTTCTCCCACCAGGGATTCAACTATCCCAGAACACACAGGGCACTGTAATCCTTCTGTAAAGTGGTTTATCTATTCTTTTCATGCCAAGTAGCCTTGGCAATGTTTTTATAAAGTAACTCTATTTTATATTTTCTCCTGCTTTATAGATATGATGCTAGCAAAGGGATGGAAAGTCTAGAGGATACTTTCGTATCACAAGCCAATGCTCTGCAAAGAAAAGGTCGAGCGGGCCGTGTTGCATCTGGGGTCTGCTTCCATTTATTCACTAGCCATCACTACAGTCACCAACTTTTAAAGCAACAGCTACCAGAAATACAAAGAGTGCCATTGGAACAGCTGTGTCTGAGGTTACATCTTGATTTTTGTGTTCTGCTTCCAAAAGGTCTAAATGTTTCTCACCCTATTTAAGTTCCATGTTTTCATTTTCCTAGTAGAAGACATTTTGCTAAAAATAGACATGGATGAACTCACTCATTTGCAAAGATCTCTTCCGTGTTGCCTTTACCATTACTTTTAACTTCCTGCATATAAAAATCTCTTACATTGCAGGGCACACAGCCCTAAAATAGAGCTTAAGAATACATTTATAAGTCAGGAAAATAATCTAACTTGTCAAGGAATTTCTGCTGGGGGCATGAATTTCAATTCACCCCAGGGAAAAATCTTCAGCCTCATTTTCAGTTACAGCAAAGTGAATAAAACTTGAAAACACCATTATTTACCTTATGAACAAATATTATAAAATAGTATTTAGTGAATGAATGATCAAACTCAGTGCTGTCAAGGCTGGGGAATCTTTAAGTCAACCTCTGTGAAAATTTGCGTGGTGATATATAAGAACTCTAAAACTATCCATGCCTTTTTTTTTTTTTTTTTTTCCTTTTTGTCTTTTTTCGTGACCGGCAACGGATCGCAACCCTCAGTGTCGCGCCCGTACTGGACCGGGACTGGCAACAGGATCGCAACCCTCGGTGCTGCGCCCGCACCTCACTCAGCCAGTGAGCGGCCGGTCTGTATGTGGGATCCGAACCCTCGGCGGGAGCGCCGCCGCACTCCCAAGCGGCACACTGTAGCAGTGCGCCACCGGGCCGGCCCTATCCATGCCTTTTGACCCAGTCATTTTCTCGAGGAAATATACCCATAAAAAAGAACCCAAATGGAAAAAATTTACTTGTATAAAGATGTTATAGCTCTAGCTATCCAGCAGTTGTATTTTGAGAGCCTTCCATTTGCCATGTGTTGGGCTAAGCAGGAGGATACGGTAGGATACAAGAACACTTCCTGCTTTCACATGTCCGTAGTCTGGTCTTAAGAAATTGGAGTAGAGCCTATGCCCTGAACTAAGGTAGTGGAAGTGCAAAAGCAGAGGAGCAAAGGGATTTGAGAGAGCTTTGCAAGTTGTTTCACCCATGAGGGAGGATGAGAGAAAGGGAAAATGTAATATATGTAGCATATAAGATTTTAAAACATCTTAAATATTCAATAGTTGGGAAATATGTAAGTTATATAGGCCAACATAGTTCCTTTTTTTTTTACACTTGAAATTTAAGTAAGTGGATTACTGTCAATGCATGTCTTAAATTGAAATATCTTAGGTGGAAAAAAGCTAAGTACCAAATATGTACATATTAATAAAAATGTAAAACTGTATGTATATAGGTTGACAATTTAAGAAGGAATTATAAGTGAAGTAAACAAAACATCACGTATGTTATACTTTTCTGAAAAGTTGTTAAAGTTCATAATTTAAAACACTGGGTTTTTTTGGTTTTGTTTTTTAATTAAAATTAGTTTTTCAAGAGTTGTCACAAGCAGGACACACGCAGATTAATTTTATAAACAATGACTGCAATTTCAGACGTGAGAAGAGAATGTAAATTACTTGAATATCTTTCATAAATACCTTTAATTATGTAGCAATTATAACTAAGCCAATCATTTCCAGTTTTTTATTGTGGTAAGAACACTTAACATATGATCTATCCTCTTAAATTTTTAGGTGTACAACACAGTATTGTTAACTATAGGCACAATGTTGCACAGGAGAGCTCTAGGACTTGTTCATCTTGCATAACCGGAACTTTATACCCATTGATTAGCAGCTCCCTACTTCCCCTTGCCCACAGCCCCTAGCAACCTCTGTACCTCATATAAGTGGAATCATGCAGTATTTGTCCTTCTGGGGCTGGCTTATTTCACTTAGCATAATGTCCTCAAGGTTCATTGATATTGTTGCATATTGCAGAATTTCCTTCTTTTTCAAGGCTGAATAATATTCCATAGAATGTGTATACCAATTTTCTTTATCCACTTATCTTTCAGCAGACATTTAGGTTGTTTCCACATCTTGGCTATTGTTAATAATTCAGTAATGTATGTGGGAGTGCAAATATCTCTTTGAGATCATGATTTCAAATCTTTTTGGTATATACCCAGAAATGGGATTGCTGAGTCATACAGCTCTATTTTTAGTTGTTCAAGGAACCTCCATTCTGTTTTCCACAGTGGCTATACTATTTTACATTCCCACCAACAGTGTGCAAGGGTTGAAATTTTTCACATCCTTGTCAACACTTATTTTTTGTCAAGTGACAAAATGATAACAAGAATTGTGAAAATTCTGTTTCATAAGTTGAACCCACTGTTCATAGAAAGAAGCATTTTGAAAGTTTATAGAGAAAATTTTATTCTGAATATGAGTAAGTTTCAGAATCTGAAAGTGTTTCTGTAGTTTACTGCTAGGAGAACTAGAAGACAGGTTTTGAAAATTTTACTTAAACTAGCATTGTGTGGTTTATAAAAGCATATATCTGGGAAATTGTAAATTATTCTCACTCAAGAAATTATTCCTCTGTGTTATCCCATCAGAAATAAAATTGACTAATTGTTATTTTGTTTTCTTTTTTCAGAATTAAAATTTTAGATATGTTCAGTGCTCATAATCTCCAGTCTGTGTTCTCTCGGCTCATTGAACCTCCACACGCTGATTCTCTCCGTGCCTCAAAAATACGATTACGAGACTTGGGAGCATTAACTCCAGATGAAAAATTGACCCCACTAGGCTACCACTTGGCCTCTCTGCCCGTGGATGTGAGAATCGGCAAACTGATGCTGTTTGGGTCTATCTTCCGCTGTTTGGATCCTGCTCTCACCATTGCTGCCAGTTTGGCCTTTAAGTCTCCTTTTGTAAGTAAACAGCATTCATCTCAACTGAGTTTGTGCCATAGCTCTTTAAGGGGACCACAGGGGCTTCAGGGTGTGTGAGCCCTCTAAAAATTTGCTTGTGACTGTTGGATATGAATTTTTCAGGGCAAAATGTCATTTGATCCTCAAGGAGATCCGTGCCCCGAATAAAGATTAAGAACTAGAGATCTAACTCATTAACAATAATCTAACCGTGCTTTCTATTGTATCTGCTATACTTGCTCATTATAGAAAAATCAGAAAGTACAAACAAGCAAAAGGTGCACCTGCATGATTTTAAAAGGCAGTAAATACACTGAAACACTTTCTTAAATAGCTTTTTTGTAATATAATTCACATACCTTACAGTTCACCCATTTAAAATGTACAAATCAATAGTTTTTAGTATGATGCAACCATCACCACAGTAAATTTTAGAGTGTTTCATTACCTCATAAAGAAACCCCTTAGCTGTCACTCCCCTATTACCCTTTGCTAACATTTTGTTGAGGATTTTTTCAATGTATCCATAAGAGGTAATTGGTCTATAGTTTTCTTGTGATGTCTTTGGTTTTGGTATCATGGTAAGACTGGCTACATAGAATAAGTTGAGAAGTGTTCCTTCTGTTTTTGAAAGAGCTTGTATGAATTAGTATGAATTCTTTAGTAGAATTCAGGGGTAAAGCCACCCGGGCTTGTTGGTTTTTTTGTTTTGTTTTGTTTTTGTGGGTAGTTTTTTTTTTAATACTAATTCAATCTCTTCACTTGTTTTATGAGTCTATTCAGATGTTTCTTTTTGAGTCAGATTTGTTAGTTTGTGTTTTTCTAGGAATTTGTCTTTTTCATGAAAGTTACCTAATTTATTAGCATACAGTTGTTCACAGTATTCCTTTATAATCCTTTTTATTTCTATAAGGTTGGAAGTAACATCCCCTCTTTTTTTCCTTTTTTTTTTTTTTGGTGGCTGGTCGGCCAATGAGGTGATCCTAACCTTTGACCCCAGTGTTATCAGCACCACGCTCTAACCACGTGAGCTAACTGGCCAGCCCCCCACTTTCTGATTCTAGTAATTTAAGCTTTCTCTCTTTTTTTCTTAGTTAATCTAGCTAAATTTTATTTTCAGAAACTTTTTGTTTTGTTGACTTCTCTCAGTTGTTTTTCTGTTTTCTACTTTATTAATGTCTGCTCTAATTCATTATTTCTTTCCTTCTGCTTGCCATAGATTTAGTTTGCTCTTCTTTTTCCAGTGTCTTAAGGTAGAAGGTTAGGTTATTGTTTTGAGATCTTTCTTCTTTTTAATATAGGCTTTTACAGTTATCCTCTAAGGACTATTTTAGCTGCATCCCATAAGTTTTGGTATGTTGTATCTTCATTTTCATTCATCTCAAAATATTTTCTGATTTCCCTTGTTTCTGCTGTGACCCATTTGTTATTTAGGCATGTATTGTTTAATTTCCACATATTTGTGAGTTCCCCAATTTCTTTTTCTGTTATTGGTTTCTGAGTTCCCCAATGTCTTTTTCTGTTATTGATTTCTAATTTCAGTCCTTTATAGTCAGAGAACATACTTTGTATTATTTTAGTCCCTTAAAACTTATTGAGCTTCATTTTACAGTCAAGCCTTTGGTGTGTCCTGGGGAGTATTCCATGTGCACTTCAGGAGAGTGGATATTCTGCTGTCGTTGGGTAGAATGTCAATCTGCCTTTATTTTTACCATGGTTTGTCATGTATAGATAGCAGAGTAGATAGATGTAATCATCTTCTTCAGTTTTAATATTACACTTCATAGAATTACAAAAAAGATCTTAGTCCAGCTCCCTTATTTAACAACAAATGATAAAACCAAGGACCAGAAGAGGTAAAATAACTTGATCAGGGACACACAGACAGTATCTACATTGTGAACAGAACCTCCATTGCCTGTTTCGCAAACCTAAATAAACCTTTCACTGACTGTTTCTTTTATTGGAATACAGAAAGACTCATTAGAAATGTTGATGTCATCTTTAGCCAAAACTGAGCACTTGTCCTTTGCTGGGCTCTGTAAACATAGTAGTAATCTCCCAAATGTAAACTTTTTCCCACTGGCCTTCCTAAAAAGGAAGGAATTTTACTTGCAAGTAGAAAATAGAATTTTGTTGCTATTGTGTTAACTATAAAGTTATTCAAATATACAAAAATTAGAGAGAAGCAGTATTGCTGATTTTAAATGATTTCAGTGGGCCGGCCCGGTGGCACACTGGAGAGTGCGCCGCTTGGGAGCATGGCAGTGCTCCCGCCGAGGGTTCGGATCCCATGTGGAGACCGGTTCCCGCTCACTGGCTGAGCGCGGTGCAGGCGCAACACCGAGGGTTGCGATCCCGTTGCTGGTCCCCGGTACGGGCGAGACACCGAGGGTTGCGATCCCGTTACCGGTCAGTAAAAAAAAGACAAAAAGGAAAAAATAAATAAATAAATAAATGATTTCAGTGGTGTTGCAGCTAGGACCTTGGTTTAGTCTACGGGAGCTACTGCAGCTCACACTGGTGTCCTTAGAACCTGAGAAAGCACAACTACATCATTGGATTAAAGAATTAGTATGGAGGGCAGTGAAAATTAACTCTTCTGCTAATTTTACAAATGTGTCAGGAAAAGGAGGACCTGTAAAAATTGTAAAAAGTAGGAGGAAACCATTAGTTATGGGTATAGAAGCAGGAGAGGCTCAAATATAAAAGATGAACAAGTATCTCTAAAATAAAGATACCACAGAGATAACAGAATTTTAGATTTTAAATATAGCTTTTAGAATGAATGGCTCTTTGTTGACTCTTGCCACTTGGATCTAAAAGACCCAGAAGAGATTATTTGGGGTGGGCAAGCAGACTCATAGGACAAATAAGACTGTTAGCTTGCCAGTTACCATCATAATTGCCTTTAATCAGAGGACCCACTGAGTAAGCTTTGTTCCACTCAAAGGCTGTCCCCAGGCATCTAGCTGCAGCAATAGGGAAGTGCCATTTGAAGCCTCAGATAAAATGTGTCCTTCAAATCCATTTTCAAAATTTAGGTGTCTCCTTGGGATAAAAAAGAGGAAGCTAACCAGAAAAAGCTAGAATTTGCATTTGCAAACAGTGATTATCTGGCTCTTCTACGAGCATATAAGGTAAGTATATAACCTAATAGCTTGGGTTTATTTCAAGAGTCAGCACTAAAGACAGAGTAAGTTCAGTTTGATTTTCTCCAAAATTTAGGGATGGCTGCTAAGTACAAAAGAAGGTGCGCGTGCAAGTTATAATTACTGCAGACAAAACTTCTTGTCAGGAAGAGTTCTTCAGGTGAGTTGTTTCTGTGGCAGTTCGTTTTCTTTCATTTTCTACTGTAGTAGCTCATGAGATGGTGTTGTACCTTTATCTCGCTTGACCTGTCTTGACATTGAAATGTTATTTCTGGAATTTGCTTGGCTTTACCAACTATGTAAAATGGACTGCTGAACTAGGAGATGAGGCCTTCTGTGCTGAACCTTTCAATTGACCTATTTTTTCCTTTTTCTTGGTGAATTTGTATTTACTTATGGGGATAGGATAGAATATAGGTACTCTAAAGATTGCTGCTTAGTGGAATTCAGTTTTCTCAATAGTTATACCAGGCATTCTTAATTTGGATCCATAAACCCCTGAAATTGTATGCAAAATTGTATGCTTATGCATATGTGCATTATTCTGGAGAGAGGGACCATAGTTCTAATCAGATTCTCGAAGGGGTCTATTACCATCCCTAATCCCCTTACCCTGTCCCCAGAACCAAAGAACCAGTACTGAACAAGATTTTCCTTGTTCATTTTTTATGTCTATCAGAACTTACTGTGTCAATAATGAGTATACAAGAAAGAGAAAGGTTTATCATCTTCTTTGTGATAATAGGCAGGGCTTCTGTCCTCTGTTGTGACAGTGTTTTAGGCCCCCTTCCAAAGCAGTATGAGAAGCCAAAATAATGATGGTTCACACCTACCTTAGCCAATTTTCTGTTGTTTATAACAGAATACCTGAAACTGGATAATTGATAAAGAAAGAGAATTCATTTCTTACAGTTTTGGAGGCTGGGGGTTCAAGGTTGAGGGGGGCACACATGGTGAAGGACATCTTCTTGGTGGGACTCTGCAGAGTCCCAGGGTGGCGCAGGGCATCACATGGAAAGAGTGCTGAACTTGCTAGCATTTCCTTTCCTCTCCTTATAAAGCCACCAGCTCCACTCCCATAACCCATTAATCCATTAAATCATTAATCCATGAATGGATTAATCCATTTATGAGGGCAGAACCCTCACAATCTAATCACCTCCTAAAGGCCCCACCTCTCAACACTGCCACATTAAGGGTTAAGCTTCAACATGAGCTTTGGAAGGGACAAACATTCAAACCATAGCAACATTTTTGCAAAGCATCTGTTTTAATCAAAGACTTTGGGGCTGGGAGGAGGAAGAACTCTGTTTTCATGTTAAATATTGATATATCATGGAGTAGAACACAAAACTAATGTTCTTCGTACTTACCACTACCTGACATCTCTTTATTTCTGTTTCATGAGCTACATCAGGGCAGAGACCTTACCTGTTTTGTTCAGCACTGCATCCCAGTGCCTAGAACAGTGCTTAGAACATAGTTAGCACTTAGTAAAGTTTCACTGAATAAATGCATGAATGAGTGAATTTGGTGAAGTAAGAGACCTCAAAACCATCCCAGTATCTTTCATTCTCTTCTTCCTTTAGTTGTGCTACAGTGAGGTATTTTGAGAAGACAAAGACTACAGCTTTATTCTACAAATTTATAGCTTTATTCTTCAAAAGCAATAATTTTTAGTCCTGACTATATGTTAGATTCACCTGAGGAGGCTTAAAAAATAAGTAAAAATGCCCAGGTCCCACCCCCAGCCAATGAAATCTGGATGTGTAGGGATGGGGGCTGGGCATCTGTTTATTGTTGTTGTTGTTGTTGTTGTTGTTGTTGTTGTGTTCACCAAGTGATTCTAATATGCAGCCAGGGTTGAGAACTACTGATCTAAAGTGGTATTCATAAGTACAGTGCAGTAATAAATATTTTCTCAAGACATTAAGATTTTTAAGTGTAAAAGGAGGATATTTCTTTTAAATTATATTTCCTACTAAATTTATTTATTCTTTTTCTTCAGGGTATATGTATATTTTGCTGTGATCTATGAGGTCCATCAAACAAGAATTCCTCTTTTCACTAAACTCCAGCTTAGATTGTAGAATTATTTTTATTAAGATCTCAATTAAAACCTTCTTGTGCAATAGAAACTCTGCTATATTTAACTCCTAGTTATATTTTGCCATGATATCCATGTATACTTGAAACATTCCAAGATAATACTTAAATTGTCATCAACAGACAAGGTAGTGTTGCTTGAATTGTCATTATCTCCTTCCCTATTGTCTAGTATGCAGATTATATTTGAACAGAAGCCACAAAAGAAAGAGGTTTGTGCTTTTCTTTCTCACGCTTGTGCTCAGCTACGAAAAGAAGTGTCTAAATCTAAACCACTTAATGATGTCTCCCCATCCAAAAACTAATAATAATGTCCCTATTCCTAGGAAAAGATGTGACCACAAGGTAGGAGAAAGGGAACATTCTGCAGAGTTGTATTGATAGAGAGCACTAACCACTAGGCACGGGTGAGGAATTGAGGGGACTTGAGCAGAAGGGCAGGTAGGAAACACTAGATAGTAGACAGTGCACTTTGAGTTAGGGTTCCAATCAAAATAAACTACATTTTTTGCTGTCCTAAGAATTTGCAGGAAAATCAGATCTACCTAAAATCTAATGAAAGTGTTTAAAAATGTAATCGAGAGTTAAGTAAATGATCCTTGGGTTTTCTAAAATTTTTGAATTTCTATGTAACTCTTTTACTCAGTCTGCCTAAGTGAACACTGGCTTTTGGGAAATGACTAGTCAAGATCATCTTCACACCTGTCTGATGAGCCCCTGTGAGCCTCATTGCTATCCACGGAAGTAATCCGTTTTCATAGTCACTCGTTATTGTAAGACTGGACACTTACCTCTGACATGGCGATGCCCTTGCTCAAAGGTTTTTCCACTTTTCAGGAAATGGCCAGCCTCAAGCGACAATTCACTGAACTGTTATCGGATATAGGGTTTGTAAAGGAGGGACTCAGAGCAAGGGAAATTGAGAAAAGGGCCCAAGGAGGAGATGGTATCTTGGATGCCACAGGAGAAGAGGTAAAGAACATGTTCTTATTTCTCTTTAGTCAGCACGTGAATAAAATACTAACTCGAGAACACTTGTAGACACTCTGCTTCACGTAAGCCCTAGAGCAGTGGGTTTAGTGGCATTCTTGATTTCCTTCTTTCTACAAATAAGGGTCAGCTAACACTTGTAAGAACAGAAGGGCCTGTCTCACTCTCTGGCCATCTTGGCGGCTGCTCTTGGTTGGGGGCCATCCTGCACCTAAGGCAGGAAGACGGAGGCCACAAAGAATATGAAAAAGTCTCTGGAGTTGATCAACTCTAGGCTCCAGCTCGTTATGAAAAGCAAGTACGTGCTGGGGTACAAGTAGACTCTAAAGATGATCTGAGAAGGCAAAGCCAAAGTGGTCGTCCTCGCCAACAGCTGCTCAGTTTTGAGGAACTCTGAAGTAGAATACTGCGTTATGTTAGCCAAAACTGGTGTCCATCACTACAGTGGCAATAATAGTGAGTTGGGCACGACGTGTGGGAGATACTACAGAGTGTGTACAGTGTCTACCACTGATCCAGGTGATTCTGATATCAGTAGAAGCATGCCAGAACAGACTGGTGAAAAGTAAACCGTGCAAAAGTTTTCTTTAATAAAACGTGCCAGAGTTTACTTAAAAAAATAACAGAAGGGTTTGTTGGCTCATCATTGCTATTGTTTTTGTTTTTTAAATTTCACACTGGTTCTTGATAAATTCTTAAGAGATAGTATAAACTTTCCAGTAATGTTTTCTCAAATCAGACCAGCTTTTTTCTAACCAACGACAGTTTTTTAAATAACGATAAGAAGAGTACTTCTTCAAGATGAACCTGATGTCCTTCTATTCTTAGTGCAATCAATACTTTCCGGAGGTTCTCAACATCTCCTGAACCAGAATCTCTCTCTCCACTGATCCTTAGGGACACTGGCTTTGTAACTGCTTGCAGAAATCTAGAAAGAGTCAATGTGCAGTAGCTCCTTTGAGACTGTGATCCAGTAAATTTATTTTTTACTTAGAAATAATTTTTCTGGGCCGGCCCGGTAGCGCACTGGATAGTGCGCCACTTGGGAAGCGCGGTGGCGCTCCCGTCCGAGGGTTCGGATCCCACATACAGACCGGCTCCCGCTCACTGGCTGAGCGAGGCGCGGGAGCAACACCGAGGCTTGCAATCCCGTTGCCGGTCCCCGGTCCGGTACGGGGGCAACACTGAGGGTTGCGATCCGTTGCTGGACACGGAAAAACGACAAAAGAAAAAAAAAAAAAAAGAAATAATTTTTCTGGGCCGGCCCGGTAGCGCACTGGATAGTGCGCCACTTGGGAAGCGCGGTGGCGCTCCCGTCCGAGGGTTCGGATCCCACATACAGACCGGCTCCCGCTCACTGGCTGAGCGAGGCGCGGGAGCAACACCGAGGCTTGCAATCCCGTTGCCGGTCCCCGGTCCGGTACGGGGGCAACACTGAGGGTTGCGATCCGTTGCCGGACACGGAAAAAAGACAAAAGACAAAATAAAAAAAAAAGAAAGAAATAATTTGTCTAGTGAAATTAGTTTTTTTTTTTTTTTTGCTTTGTTTAAGGTAGAGATCAAATGAAATATACTGGTAAATTCTAGGGCACAGACAGAAATAGCCACATTACTTGGTAAAATTACTTGTAAGATTAATGCTGTATTTCTCTCATAGGCAAACTCAAATGCTGAGAACCCCAAGCTGATATCAGCAATGCTGTGTGCTGCTCTGTATCCAAATGTAGTGCAGGTAACAAAACATTTTGGGGGTGGTCCTCCCATTTTAGTTTGATTTGTAGCCAAGGGATATAAATTAAGATGTGCACACTAGTCATCTTAGAGATATACACACACACGCACAGAGAGCCTATTAAACTTAGTATATACTTCTAATCCTTTAATTCCCCAAATCTATTTAAATATATCATTCAAGAACACATTTATTGTATAAAAGTAGGTGCTTTTAAAATCCTCCTGACATATTATCATACTCCAGAAATTAAAATAGACATAAATGTCACTCTGTCAGCCAATCTGTACATACCTAACCTATATTAGATGGAAATTTGATTTTCCCACAGTTTCCCTTATGCCCTCTACTCTGGCCTAAAATTATCAGCACCGCACTCTACCGAGTGAGCCACAGGCCGGCCCTCTGGCCTAAAATTAGATAAGAACAAATCACACAAATCAGGGTGGCCAGCCTTCTGGAAACCCTACCTGAGTATGCTTTTGGACATTTACCTGCATTTTGATTATCCAGCCCTAATAAGGGACCGTTTCAAACTTAGAAAGAATTTGAATTTGGCAGAGTACTGAATCATTTTCCAAGGCCTTAACTTTTTTGTTACATGTTCAGTTGACATCTGCTGATTAATTTATGACTAATTTTCTGCTTAGCATGTGCATGCTTTCCAAACCATTTGAAATTTACTTTTAAAAATCATTTGGATATAGATTTACTGGTTTTGATATTATACTGTAGTTATGTAAGATGTTACCATTGGAGGAAACTAGGTGAAGGGCACACAGAGAACTCTCTGTACTATTTTGCAACTTCCTATGAATCTACAGTCATCTCAAAATTAAAAGATTTTTGGGCCGGCCTGTGGCTCACTCGGGAGAGTGCAGTGCTGATAACACCAAGGCCGCGGGTTCGGATCCTATATAGGGATGGCCGGTTTGCTCACTGGCTGAGCGTGGTGCTGACAACACCAAGCCAAGGGTTGAGATCCCCTTACCGGTCATCTTTTAAAAAAAAAAATTAAAAGATTTTTTTAAAAAGAATGTGGGAAAAATCATTTGGAGACTTAAATTATAGAAACAAAACCTAACTGTGGTATAAGAAACTTTAGATGATGCTGTGCAGAAGCTTTTTAGTTTGATATAATCCCATTTGTTTATTTTTCCTTTGGTTCCCTGTGCTTTTGGGGTTGTGTTCATGAAGTCTGTACCCATTCCTACTTCCTGGAGTGTTTCCCCTATGTTTTCTTTAAGGAGTTTTATTGTTTCAGGATGTATATTTAATTCATTAACCCATTTTGAGTTGATTTTGGTATATGGTGAGAGGTATGGGTCTAGTTTCATTCTCCTACATATGTTTAGGTAAAAATCCCAGAAGGGAAATTTCAGAAGACCAGTACTGGAGCTGTCAGAATGCAACCCAAATCAGCTGAGTTGAAGTTTGTTACGAAGAATGATGGCTATGTACACATTCACCCTTCATCAGTGAACTATCAGGTGAGTGTGGTAGTATGTACCTATGTTTACATATGGCAAGTCCTGGGGTGAGAAACACAGTCCCTTAAATTCAGCCAAACCTTGTTCTGTCAGTTGCTGTCCCCAGCAGCACCACTGACTTAGGGAAGGTTGAATAAGCATAAACAGACTGGAAATTGGACTATTTCTGGAAAGACTATTTCCATTTCAGGAAAATTCTGTTGGATACATAAAAAATGCTCAAGCCTGCTTTCAGCTGTAAGATTGTTTCTTTGCAATGGTGATTTAGAAGTCATGTGCTAATTACATCACTGAACCTATGCCTCAAAAGGGAATGAATGACCTATTCTTGCCAATCCCACTTGTTTAGCTCTCGTCTTTCCTTCAGCCTGCTGCTGTAAAGCTCCTGCCCTCACCGCTCCGCTAAACTCACTGAAGGTCACGAGTAACCTCCTAGTTGTCAAATCCTGTGGGCTTCTGCTGGGCTCATCATAGTTGCACTTGCCTCTCAAATGGTATTTGTCATTGTGACCTGCCTTCCTCTTGAAATGATCTTTGATGTTCTTTTGGCTTCTTACTTAAGTAAATATCACTTACTTTTATCTCTCCAATCAACTCCTCTATCTCCTTGACTAGCTTTTCTTCTTTGGCCCTGAAATAGTGGTTCTGTTCTTATCCTTATTTTCTCACTATAGTGTTCATACTCTTCATGGACCACCAAAGACACATCATGGTCTCTGGAAAACATCAGCCAGATGTCATCTTCTAGTCACCTCAAACTCAAAAGCTGAAAAATCAAACTCATTATCTCCCAGTTCATTCTTGTCTTTCTGTGATCCCTGATCCCTGTCTTGGTAAATTACACCATCCAGATCGGAACCCTGACGTCGCATGGACTCCTGCTTCTTTTCTCCTTACTCCAATCCAATTGGTTACCAAGTCCCAGCAATGCCACCTTTTTGACATCTCTAAGATTTGCCTACTTCTCTTATCCCTACTGCCACTTCCTAAGTTCAAGCCCCGAACATCTATCTCTTGCCTGAAGTACTATAATAATATTACTTGTGGTGGTTTCTCTCTCCAACATTCTATACTACTGCTGCCAAAATTATCTTTGCAGAACATACATTTGACCGTGTCAATTTCTTGCTTAAATCCTCATGTATGGAGCATAATACAAATTCTCACGACCCTTCACATCTGGCCCCTTCCTATATATGACCCCACAACCACCCCCCATCATTCTGTGTGCTCCAGCAATACCAGACTACCAACAGTGTCCCCCAGTGCCATGACGTGGAACACGCTGTTCTCTGTGCCTGGAATGCCATTCTTATTCCCCAGCAAGCTCCTACTTATTCATTAAAAATGGATAAGTAGCTGCCATTAAAAATCACTTTCTTTAAAAGTCACTTCCTCGGTGTCCCTCTCCCTCCAAGGTGCTCCTTACTTCCGCTGTTCCACCATCCTGTAGCGTGCATATGTCTATTGTGGCACTTATCATGTTAGTTAATGGTATGTCTCCCTCATGGGATTGTGAAATCCCTGAAGACAAGAACTGAATTTTATTCATTTTTAGTCTCAATGTCTAGCAGGGTGCCTGGCTGAAAGTACATGCTCAGTAAAGCTTTCAGGAGGGACAGAGGAGAAAAAGGAAAAGAGACCAGAGGAAGAGAGAGATTGAAGTGTTAGAGCTTGTCAGCCCCCTGGAACTGCTGAGGAAAGTGTCAGTAAGCACGAAAAGGGTCTCCTGACGCTCAGAGCAGTTTGAGGGCCAGGAGGTCATCTGCCCTCTCAGCTGTCTGTGTTCTCAGGAACCAGAGACCTGAGTTTGCTCCACACCTGCTCTTTTGAGTTTACCATGACAGACTCCAAACCATTCATGCATCTATTCAATATCTACTAGCACTGTTGTAGGCCATGACGGATAACAGATGAGCCAGACAGACAAGGTCTCTGCCCTCAAGGAGCTTACAGCCTAGTGGGGAAGACAGGTAAGAAATAAGTAAACAAATAATCTCAGGTTAGTGACAAATGCTGTGAAGAAAAATAAAGCAGGGGAGAGAGATTGAGAGTGACAGGACAGGGGAAGGACCCTTTTACGTGGGGTGGTCAGGGAAGAACTCTCTGAGGTGAGGAGAAAACAACTGAGCAGATCCTAAATGAAGTGAAGAGCGAGCCATGCAGCTATGTGAGGAGAGAACGTGCCAGCGGAGGAAATAAGAGCAACGACCACGAGGTGGGAGCGTATTTGGTGTGTTTCAGGAAATGTAAGGCTGCGGCCAGTGTAAGTGGACTGGGATGATTAGGGGTGACAGCGGGGAGGAGAGGTGCTGGGACAGGCAGGCAGGGGTCAGGGCGTCTAGGACCTTGTAGGCCATGGTGAGGATTTTAGATTTTATCTCTGGGAGACCACTGGAGAGTTTTGAGCTATAATTGGATTTGTTGTGAAAAGATCACTGTGGCCGCTGTGTGGAAAAGAGACTGTGAAGGTGCAAAAATAGAAGCAGGGCGGCACTTTGGAGGCCATTGCAGCATCTCCACGAGGTGGTGACGGTGCGTGCTAGTGGCAGCTGTAGCAGCGGGGAGAACATGTCAATTCATTTAAAAGATCACTGTGGCCGCTGTGTGGAAAAGAGACTGTGAAGGTGCAAAAATAGAAGCAGGGTGGCACTTTGGAGGCCATTGCAGCATCTCCACGAGGTGGTGACGGTGCGTGCTAGTGGCAGCTGTAGCAGCGGGGAGAACATGTCAATTCATTTTGTGTTCTGAAAACAGCTCACAGGACTTAGTGACAATACAGATGGAGTGAGGGAAAAAGAGCAATTGAGCGTGACTGCTGAATTAGGGGCTTGAGCACCTGGGTGAATGGGAGTGTCATTTACTGAGATGGGGAACACTGCAAAGAGGGCAAATCAAGAATTCCTTTGAACACAGGAAGTTTGAGATGCCTATTAGATGTCCAAGTGGAGATGGCAAGTAGGTTTTTGCATAAGCAAGTCTGGAGCTCAGGGGAAAGGTCCAGGCTGGAGAAAAATATTGAGAGTCATTAAGGAACAGGTGGTATGTAAATCCATAGGACTGGTGGGGTTCCCCTTATGTTGCCAGTGACATCACTGTTGTCATCTAAGGTTTCGTGTTTCAGGTCAGACACTTTGACAGCCCCTACCTGTTGTACCACGAGAAGATCAAAACTAGTCGGGTATTCATCCGGGACTGCAGCATGGTGTCTGTGTACCCACTGGTCTTGTTCGGAGGAGGCCAAGTGAGTGTGCAGCTTAAAAGGGGAGAGTTCGTTGTCTCCTTGGATGATGGTTGGATCCGTTTTGTAGCTGCTTCCCATCAGGTAAAGGGATAATTGGTCTGTTGTATGAGGCTTAGGTCATGAGGGGCTTTGATAGTATGAAATATAGGGCACTCCTTTAGGGACAAGGGACAACAGAACTAATTAAGAGTGAAGGATGGGTTTACAGTGAGACACTAAGAAAGAGAGAGGCAGAAGTGAGGCCATGGGTGGAGCCCTAGTAAGAGTTCCAGGAGCATACTGGGAGGGGAAGCCCAGGGTGGGTTGGGGTTGGTGTCAAAGGTTTAGGACAGAAGCCATAAGGTGAGGCTGACGGACCTTCCTTATTGTTATACAAATAATATATGTTCACCAAAGTAAAAATTAGAAAATACAGTTAAGCAAAAATAAATAAGTAAAAATCACCCTGATTCCACCACTACCATTAAAAAAGGGGGGGGAGGGGCAACCTGTGGTTCACTTGGAGAGTGTGGTGGTGATAGCACCAAGGCCACAGGTTCAGATCCCTATATAGGGATGGCCGGTTAGCTCACTGGGTGAGCCTGGTGCTGACAACACCAAGTCAAGGGTTAAGATCCCCTTACCGGTCATCTTAAAAAAAAAAAAAAAGATATGGGACTGGCTGGAAGTTCCGTTGGTTAGAGTGTAGCCTTGTAACTCCAAGGTCAAGGGTTCGGTTCCCTATACCAGCTAGCTGCCAAAAAAAGAGAGAATGGGTCTGAATTCTTTTATTCTCAGGTCTCGATTATTCACTATATGGGACCTCTGTGAAAACACTTCAAGGGGAGTATATGTTTAAGAAATAAAAATTTGTTTTAACATTTGCATCTGTTAGAATTCTTATATTGTAAGAAGCAGAAACACCGACTCAAACATTAAAGAAAATTGATTGGCATATTTAACTGTAAGCAACACTGTCCAAAAGAAATGTGATATAAGCCACATAGATAATTTTAATTGTTCTAGTAGCCACATTTTAAAAAGTGAAAATAGGTGAAATTGATCTTAATATATTTCATGTTCAACATGTAATTAATATAAAAAATTATTGAGATATTTTACATTCTCTTTTCATACTAAGTCTTCAAAATCTTGTGTGTATTTTATGCTGAGAGCACATCTCAGTGTGGACTGGCCACATTTCATGTGGTTATTAGATAAACCACACGTGACTAGTAGCTGCTCTATCAGACAGAGCAGGTCAAGAGGTCCAGGCAGGTTGGTTAGATTCAGCAGCTCAGTGACATCAGAAGCCTGGCTGACCCTGTGGTAAGAGGATGGCTGCAGTAGCTCCTGGCTTCACATCTGTGCAGCACACAGTTCAGAAAGGGACACAGAAACCTTCTTGCCTAAAAGCTCCATCAAAGCTCCCCTCCTGGGCCGGCCCGTGGCTCACTTGGGAGAGTGTGGTGCTGATAACACCAAGGCCACGGGTTTGGATCCCTATATAGGGACGGCTGGTTAGCTCACTTCAGAGAGCGTGGTGCTGACAACACCAAGCCGAGGGTTAAGATCCCTTTACCAGTCATTTAAAACAAACAAACAAAAAAAAAACTCCCCTCCTAAACCAATTCCTGTGGCCAAGGGATGTCCCGGATTTGAAGGCCTGGAGTACTCGATCCTTCACTCTGGCGAGGCCCGCAGCATGAATCTGCTTGAGTCAGAGCAGGGTCCAAAGCACACGTTGCCACACAGTGGGGGAGGGGCAAAGCAGATGTTACAAAGACATCTACAGTACCACCACATCAGCATAAGCAAAATGCCATAAAGGCAGAAAACGCATCCCAAAGCTAGAGGTTTTTTGGTTTGCCTGACTTGTACCATTTTTAATTCTTCATTTTTAATTCCTGCTTCTCCTCTTGAGGCAAACTGTAAAAGGTGACCAAGCTTTAATATGGAGAGCCCTACATAAGAGCCATAATTCCAGATTTAATCTTTTCTTTAAATGAGATGTGATAGAAGAGTTTTTATATAATGGACCACATTTAGTGTACTACAGAATAAAAACGTTTCTTTTTTTTTCCTTTCAATGGAGTGAAAATTAATATCAGAAACCTAAATAATGATAATCATAATTGGTATATTTCCCTCTAATTTATCCTCCCCTGTTGCTCCAAGCATTGCTTATACTGTGGCTTTCATTTTAGGTGGCTGAATTAGTAAAGGAACTTCGTTGTGAACTTGACCAGCTCCTCCAGGATAAAATAAAAAACCCGAGCATAGATCTGTGTACATGTCCTCGAGGATCCCGGATCATCAGCATGATTGTGAAACTTGTCACCACACAATAAAGACCCGTTTTAGGAGAGTGCTTGCTGCTCACCTGCTTCCTGCTCACCTGGGAAATAACAGCAGCAGCTCTACCTCGAACCACAGACCTGTGCTGGGCTGGCCCTGGAGAAGTAGCTCAGGCCGAGCCCACCAAGCGCTGAGGCACCACATACCCTGGGGGGCCTTTTCCAGACAGTACTTCTAACAGAGCTGCAGACACTCCCAGCACAATTTGGAGTGTCAGTGGTGAGACAGTTTAAAACCCAGCTTGCCTGCCTTTTTCTCTGTGATTATTCTGAGTGAATGAAATTCACCTGAAACACAAAAGTGAATGTTTGATACAACTCTGTTTTAATCTGTATAATCCTTTTCTCTTGCTTTTTACTGGGGTAAGACAGGGGCATGAGGAGAAATACCCATTGTTGATATTTTTTAGGTCATAAAGGCTCAACTGAGAAGTAGAACAGAGAAGGAAAAAAAGAAAAACAGAAAAAAAAATCATGTTAGCAAGAAAAATAAAAATTTCATTTTAGGCTGTTGGTTACTGAGTAAACATGCTTTGTGAGGGATTTTTATTTGTACCCATTAAAGGTCAGCTTAAACAAATTTAATGAGTTCTGTTTTGGTATGAAGATGCAAGCTGGTCTTGTCTGTAACATTTCTGTTCTTAAAAGCACAACAATCTGGGTGTGTTTGTTCTATAAGTTCTCCATTTAGTAATCTACTCTCTCTTATGAACTCACCCCCATCCAATGGCCATATTTCACATTATCCGGTGGAGAATTTTATGGTATTCTGAGGGCAAAGTTGGCATGGTTTTTGTAGAAAAGGTTGCCATAATAGTATTAGATGTACAGCCATAAAAATGTCCTCTATGAAATAGCTTGTTTTCAACTACCACTTAGGTTAATGGGGCACTAGCATTTTGAAAAAATATAAATACATTTACAATTTCCCTGGGCATTTTTCAGTGTGGCCAGGAGGAATCCCAAAGAGCTGAGTGGAAAAAATATTCTGTTTGTCTAGACCTCAGGACAGAATCACTACAGGTTTCATACTGTAGATAGAATTCAAACACCTCAGTGAAGGGTGTTCATTTTTCAAGGTATTATTTTAGTTAAGTTTTCAGGAAATCTCCTAGGCTGTCCAAAATAATCATTATCAAGTGTGTTTAAGCTTTGGTACACTTGAAGAGCTTTACTCTAAGCAGTATTTTTAAAAGGCCTCAATTCATGTCATCACTTTAAATTAAAAATATACATAAGCACAGCACCCACAGAATCCAAGTTCTGACTTACGGTTGAAACAAGGCTCATATTGCAGAATTAATTAAGCTGAGACCTTTAAAAGAAATGAAGAAGAAAATTGCGCTACCCTCTAAAAAATTATTTCAAACCCAGTTTTGACTCTTGGTGCTACAGTGGAGCTTATGCTGCCCTAGCTAGAGCCATCTGCCCAAGCAGACCTGCAGCTTTTAACACATTTGCAGCAGAGCATACAACTGGCAGGTAGTTAACGACAAAACATTCCATCCAGAGTGCTGAGAAATTGCTCCCCTCAGGGAAGTCAGTTTTTGGACTGGTCACTTCCAGCCACATACAAATGCACAAATACTATTATTTTATAGATGTGCCAGAATGTGAAAAAGGTTGGGAATCCTTGATTTAAGGCACCAAATAACAAAATCCCCACCCCCAAAATAACTTTGTAAGCTCAATGTTAAAATTATGAAATAAGATTTCTAATTTGCAATTAAAGATCAGAATACGGTATAGTATGTCAAGGTGAAACTGGATTTCTAAGCCCCAACAAGATTGTCAACATTTAATGTAATTTTATGGAGAGCTTGGTAAATGGTTTCTTAAAACATTTGTTTTTCTTTTACTGGAATGTAGCTAGGAAACAATATTAATAAAGTACTTGCTATGAAATGAGTCTGCACTGCTGTTTTGTACTATGTGTAATTGGAAAGTCTCAGGAAATGAGACTAGCCTAACATTCTGATGGTCATAGGCTGGCAAAGTGTTAGCTTTGTCTTCTTCCTTGAGTTCCATAGCTGATTATTACAACTCAAACTCCCTGGCAGTTAATGAACTTTGATCTTTATCCTTCCATTCTATTATCTGAGCAGCTTAATTTAAATACTATATCTAAGCACAGCATGTGGATCTGCAGGCATATGGTAAAAGTTAGGGAAAATTAAAGTACAGCAAATGTAAGGCATTAGGACTCAGGGTGTGATTTTCAGATGCAGCTTAGGCTGGCTCTGTGGGGACTCCTCTCGGTGTCCTGTTCTCTTAATTGCTGGGCCTAGAGCAGTTGAGCTCAGGCTTTTCACTCTGAAGATGTCTTGTGGGTGTCACCCAGTTGCCACATGTATGGTTAGGTTAGGGCTAAGGATTAGGGCCCACAGACCCTTCAAACCCATTGTAGAGACTGGGTCACAGACCCTTCACATGCTGGGCTGGGTTACCAGACCCCTCACATGTAGGTCCATGAGCTAGGTAATTGGGAAAGATCCCGGGAGCCACTGGCAGATGATGGGGGCTCAGACCTTAGCTTCCTGAGCAGCAGCAGCAGCTTACAGATGTGGCAATGGCAGCTAAGGTGGCCTCCAGCAGCAGTAGCGGCCTTCCCTTCCCCCAGGTGCAAGTCAGACAGCCCAGGAACACCTGGGTGCACATGCACAATTTCATTAGACAATAACCAAGGAACACCTGGGCGCATGTGCATATTTACATCAAATGTTTGGCAAGACTCCGAACCCCTGAGGGACTCTGACATTTTTCTATATTTTCCCCACACCACATAAATAATGGGTTCCTGGAGGTAGCAGGATATGCTCACACTGCCATTATTATGCTTGAACAACCTAGGCAAATGCTGGCTTTTTCCTCCTAAATCACATGGGAATTAAGCATAATTCCTAGGGCTTATTTTCCCCCACATTCAGGGGGAAAGTTTGCTTAAATACTCAGCCACTTAATAAATACAAGGTTAGCTGTTGTTTTCAGAAATTAGATCTTGATCATAAATCTGTGTCAGGCAGTATTTTGAGTGCTTGCAGTACAGAGTGCCCCAGATGGAAACAACAGAAACAGCTACCACAGTTCGTTACAGTGCTAGTTTCAGACTACTCCATAGTGATAGGTTTCTTCCATGTCTTTTGGCCTCATAAATGTAAAACTATGCAATGACCAGACCAATAGTTAACCATGGAGTCATTAACATTGAAAGACTTTTTGTCATTTCTACATTATCACCCCTGAAATGATAAATCAAAGAGATTAATTATAACAAATACAGTACCCTGTGAAGACTGTAAAGAAGTTTCCCTGCTGGAGAAAATGTAGTTTTTATTTGTTTTAAACTAGTGGTTCCCAGTTGGGGGCAATTTTGCCCCTGGGGGAACATTTGACAATATCCAAAGACATTGGACAACTTGGGGGTGGGGGTTACTGCTGGCATCTAGTGGTTAGAGGCCAGGAATGCTGTTAAATATTCTACAAGGTACAGGTTACCCCCAACCAAAAAATTATCCAATCCAAAATGTCAATAGTGCCAAGGTAAAGAAAACCCTGTTTTAAACAAAATGAGATAGGTAACCACTTACAAAGTCTAACTAATAGCTATTAGATATAAATTATGCCCATAGACATCTCTTAAAATGGAAGTATATTTTGGACTACTAAAAGTGAAAATCTCTGCCAAATGAACTCAAATAAATATCTACTGTGTGAGTACGAGCTCATGAGTACATAGTGCTGTTATCAAGAATAGAGAGTACTTAACAATTTCAGCAAACTATATGTAAAAATGGGAAAAGCTATGCACAGATGGATAGGGATATCTTTACTTTAAAAACATGTTCTATCATTAAATTTTGTTTTGTTTTGTTTTTAAATCACTTATTTTGAGAATGTGAAGATATGACTTCTAATACTGCTAATACTTGCCACTGCAAGACCGAAATTCTCACATTTAGGTTCACATTAAGATGTTTAAAACATACACCCTTACCTTATCTCTGTGTTAACTGAACAAAGTTCAACCTACTAGACTTTGACCATATAGGGGAAATATAGGAAAATGGTCAGGGTCCCTCAGATGTTCAGAATCTTGCTGAGCATTTGATGTAAATATGCACGTGCGCCCAGGTGTTCTTTGGTTATTGTTAATGTAGTTGCACGTGTGCACCCAGGTGTCCTGGGTTATTGGACTTAAGTATAAAAGACTAGCAGCTCTGATCCACAGGGCCCCTGCCCCTGGGATGTCCCCAGGGGAGCCACAGGGAGACCGCCACCACCTGCTGGATCTACTGTAAGCTGCCACCACCAAGGAAGCTGAGAACTGAGCTCGTGCTGTCTGCCAATGGCTCCCAGGATCTTTCCCAATTACCTAGTGTGGACCTGCATGTGAGGGGTCTGTGACCCAGTCTGTACAATGTGTTTGAAGGGTCTTTGGGTCATAACCCCTATCCTGGACAATACAAATGGAAACTTAGTGTAACTAAAATAATGAAATACTTTGGCTTTAGTTATGAATTGCATAGCAATACAATTGGCGTAGTCACTTAACCCTACAATTGGCTACGTCGGCAGGATTCTGACAATAGCACTAACCAGACAGGCCAATATGCTAAAACAAAAATAGCGTTTTTTAAAAAAAGACTTTATTGCTAGAGCTTAGACCCCTCAAACCTGTTGTACAGACTGGGTCACAAACCCCTCACCTGCAGGCCTACAAGCTAGGTAATAGGAAAAAGATCCTGGGAGCTGTGGGTAAAGATTAATAGGTTTTATTCAGATGCAAGCTCGGGTAGCTAGCAGCAGCTGCCCTAGTGGCCTCCTGGGGTGTCCTGAGAGCCCTGTGGATCAGAGCCATTCATCCTTTATACTTAAGTGCAATAACTCAGGAACACCTGGGCACAAGTCAGACAATTCAGGAACACCTGGGTGCCCATGCACATCCATAGATAATAGCTGTAACGTAAGACAAATCATAACTAAAGCCAAAATGTTTCATTATTTATTTTAGTTATACTAAGTTTCCATTTGTATTGTCAGGGCTAGGGCTCAGATCCTCCAAACCCATTGTACAGACTGGGTCACCAGACCCGTCACATGCCAGGCTGGGTCCCTACACCCCTCACACGCAGGTCCATGTTAGGTAATTGGGAAAAATTCCAGGAGCTGTTGGCAGATGACATGAGCTCAGTCCTCAGCTTCCTCAGTGGCAGCAGCTTACAGGTCTGGCAGTGGCAGTGGCCTTGCAGAGCGTCCTGGGGGCACTAGCAGTAGCAGTGACCCCCAGCAGCAGTAGTGGCCTCCCCATACCCCCCCATGGGGGGGGGCATCCCGGGGATGGGAGGCACCATGGATCACAGCCACTCATCCTTATACTTAAGTCCATAACCTAAGACACCTGGGTGAACGTGCGCAATTACACTAGACGATAACCAAGGAACACCTGAGCACACGTGCCTATTTACATCAAGTGCTCAGTAATATTCTGAACATCTGAGGGGCCCTGACCATTTTTCCTATATTCTCCCAACAATAGCCAAGGAACACCTGGGCACACGTACAGTTATCATTTACATCAAATGCTTGGCAAGATTCCGAACCCCCAGCCCCAGGGATCCTGACCATTTACTTTTCATTTTCCCTACAAGGATTTATAGCTCTATAGAGATATGACTACACAATGTTTAAATCTAATGTGAAGCCTAATTAGGAACTTTAATTTCTAGGCTCAGTAACCCTTCTTCTATAGTTTGAACTGGAAAAATCAGTTTATTTTAGGACTTGACTATTAATAAGATTACCGGACAGAATGACAAAGATATGTTATGCTCTTTAGAAGACAGATGTCTTTACAAATCAGGGGCCATGCTATATGATATGAAGGAAACTAATCCACTGATTATAGACCTAGCACAAAACAATCAGTAATTAGAGACATTTCTGTTAATGCTGCCCTTCTGTCTCTGAAATTCACCTGTGCACTTTTCCATTTAAACTCCAGCTGTCCCCATTATTTTAATCCATATATCTTTATACCATCCTTTTACACAGTAAGCATGGCTAAAACTGAATTAATTGAGACATGCAATCTGATTAGTTAAGAAGGCCGATTGTCCAGTTTATAATTAAAGTGTGCTACATGGCTAGTTTGAAACCCATATTGTGGTTGCAGAAATGCCTCCCACATTTATGCTTATAATTTCAACTTAACATATATATATATTTTTTTGTTTGTTTGTTTGTTTTTTGACCGGTAAGGGGATCGCAGCCCTCAGCAAGGTATGGTCTGCACCACGCTCATCCAGTGAGCGCACCAACCATCCCTATATAGGATCCGAACCCACGGCCTCGGCGCTACCAGCGCAGCACTCTCCTGAGTGAGCCACGGGGCTGGACCTTAACTAACATATTTTAAGTAGGTGCCATGTGCCAGTCACCCTGCTAGGAACTCAGGATACAAAGATAAACAGGGACACAG